TTCAACAGAGACATTACTACAAGAGGTACCTTACTTTACGGTCACCTTGCGTTGATTCCGGGGGGTCGAGGTCCCCGCGGCCCGGTCTCTGACCTGGCCTCCTCCTCCCTACCAGGAGGACAGGTAGTGTGTAGTAAGGCTTTATTAAGCGCCTCACACACCTGTATCGTAACACAGGTGTGTGGTGGCCAAAATACAGGTGTCAAAACAGAGGGTGAAGGAATGCCTGGAATAATAACTTCTTACTTAATGGAACTTTATAAAGTTCATTGGATTTGTACCAATTATTTTGTTACCGTGTCGTGGATTTCTTACAACTGACTTTTTGGGGTATTTAAGGTACTTTATATTAAAGCTTAAATGTGTAAGTATCTACATGTGTGTATATAAATGTTGGTACATATACGACGGGTACTTTCAACCCGTTGAGAGATGAATATTCACAGTAGTTAGGTTGTGTAACAGTACTTGTGCAACCATACTGTGGCGGGGGGGGGGAGGAGGAGGAGGAGGAGGAGGAGGAGGAAAAGGAGGAGGCGGACAAGGAGGAGGAGGACAAGGAGGAGGAGGAGGAGGAAAAGGAGGAGGCGGACAAGGAGGAGGAGGAGGAGGACAAGGAGGAGGAGGAGGAGGAAAAGGAGGAGGCGGACAAGGAGGAGGAGGAGGAGGAGGAGGACAAGGAGGAGGAGGACAAGGAGGAGGAGGACAAGGGAGGAGGACAAGGAGGAGGAGGAGGAGGAGGACAAGGAGGAGGAGGAGGAGGAGGACAAGGAGGAGGAGGAGGACAAGGAGGAGGAGGAGGACAAGGAGGAGGAGGAGGACAAGGAGGAGGAGGACAAGAAGGAGGAGCCAGTACGGGGTGTTATACAAAGGTAAGGAAGCAGGACACAAGACAAGACTGCGAGGTGGGGAGCGTTGATGGGGAGGGTCTCGGTAGCGCAGTGGGTTTCCTTCTTCACTCACAATTGGGAATTAATCCCGGGACGGACAAAAATGATAGAACACGTTTCCTTTCATCTGATGCATCTGTTCATCTAGCTGTAAATAGGTACTAGAAAACTTGGAAATTAGTCAACGGATGTGGAGTTGCATCTTGGGGAGGGTCAGTAGTTCAACCTTGGGGTGGGGGGGGGAGGGACCTCAGTATCAACCTAACGTACATACATACACAGGCTGCCTGTCCCCCCGACAAAACGATTTAAAACGATTATACACTCGTGTAACTAGTCTGACCTATTTGTGCCTGCAGAGTAGAGCTTCACGTGCTTGTCTGACGCAATGGCTCCTGACTTAACTCTCCATTAGGCCTACCTGCCAGTGTTATGCTAGAATACACTTTCCACCAACTCTATGGCTCTTCTGTCTATAGAGCTTCCACCCATATCGCCTTGCTATTCACTGTGAACATTTCTTCTTTTTCCATCCTGTCAATCCATATCAGTATTTTGTATGTCTCTAGCATGTCTTCTTCGATAGATTAATCTGCTTCCTTTAAACCATGAATTATCACTATCAGCTTCCTCTGGAATTCCTTGTTTGCGTAATGTATTACGCCCCTGGGAGCCGCCTCACTTGTCACCAGCAACACTTAATGCTACAGCCACTAACTTACTTTCATTTTTTGTTTATTCAAAGTGAAGTTGTTTTCTGTATTCTCACATATAGGAAATATGTTTTCAGTCTCTTTCTCTAATTTATTCTGTTTAATCATATCGTCCTCCTCACACACTCTGATCTCACCCTCCCTGACTCCCTAGCTTTCAAAATGGCTTACATTATTTTCTAGAAATTTTAATATTGATTCCACACTGTAACCTTCTTAATATAGTCTTTCTGGTAAGGCTCACGTCTGTGTCTGTGTTCCATCTCGTTTATTCCTGACATCTCTGCGGCTCATCTGTGTCTCCAGCTTCCACCTGTGTCCTCTGGTCCTTCCTTTTTTATCTTGTTGAACATTGTCTCTTTGTCAACCCTCTTTTAATGCTCCTCAGTATCATGTACGTCGTTATCATCTCCCCGCTGAAACGTTTTTCTTCCAACGTGGTGAGTTTGAGCCCACTCAGCCTTTCATTGAAGACAAGTCTTATTAGCACTATAAGTAGTTAGGCTCATATCTCTGTACAATTTTCTTCAGGTGCCAGCGATGCACATTCAAGAAGTGGTCTTACATAGGGTATATATATGCTGAAAGCCTCTTTGTTTAGGGTCCCTGATGGCTATCCTGATATTTGCCAGTTTGGCGTATGCCGTAGACGTTAATTTGTGCATGTACTCCTTAGGTGAGCAAACTGTGTGTGTGTGTGTGTGTGTGTGTGTGTGTGCGTGTGTGTGTGTGTGTGTGGCAGAGGGGGGGGGGAGGCGGGGGTGGGGAGAGAAAGTCAGGGAGGGAGCTGAAGGACAGGTGAAGGGACCTGTATTACGCCGTGGAAGGACATGTGCGCATCTTATGCCTGGCTCATAAACTCACACACACACACACACACACACACACACACACACACACACACACACACACACACACACACACACACACACCAGATAGGAAGAAGAGAACAAACACATAGGCAGGAGAATGAGGTGTAGCATTGCTGGTTAAAGATAATTTGAACTTTGAGATCATCATTACGAAGGTGGTAAATGGTAGCCACAGTGCCGGCCAGGGATCTCAGCAGAGGGTGGAGAGAAAGTGGTGGTCATAGATCATTCTCCTCTCTACAACCCTCAGGAAACACCAGAGCCAATTTCTGAAAGCAAATCTGTTAATCATAGGGGACTTAAACCATAGAAGAACAGACACAATAGGCCTATGCGAGAGAAGATGTGAAGAGTCCATATTTTTTCTACGTATGAACGACGACGAATAGACAGGACTGACGTTTTTTGGAGTGTGAGAAAGCTTAAGACACTGTTCTCCACGTGAGACTAATGCTCAAGATGGAGAAATAAGCAGGAGTTGATCAAAGGAGAGATGCTCTAGTGGATGGGGGAGAAACTAAGTACAATAAGAGAATGACGGTGTTGTAAGAGTGACCAGAGTGATGGGATATTTCCACCAGGGTCCGAAAAGGCTCAGTACAGTTCGTCTCTTGGTCTTACTGTTATTGTTTGTTGATGATACAAGACTTATACAGAATGTAATTACAGAGGAAGACTGCAAGGAACTACAGGAAGATCTGAACAGACCTGTTCAGGTTCTTGTATACCAGAATGGTATAACACATGACCACTAGAGTTCATCAACAAGTGGAAAATAATGAAGGTGGGTGGTGGGAACAGGAGGCTGACATATGGCAACAAACAGGAGAGGGAAAATGATCTCGTGGTTGACATCACACTGGAGATGTCTCCTGAAGCCCAGGCCAGGCGGATACCATGAGTGGGGGGCGTGTGTAAGTTTCCCCAACATAACAACTACCTTTATAAATGTAAACAATGAGTCGTTCAGAACCTTCTATATCACATATGTCAGACCAGCTCTGAGTTTTGCGGCACTAGACTGGAATCTTAACGCGTTAAATAATAAAATGAAGCCGGAGAAGTTATTTAAGTATGTCACCAAATTACAAAGTTGTGGAGTATAAATTACGAGGAAAGATTAAAAGAAATAAACCTCACGTCGCTGGAATAGAGAAAAACATGATCACCATATACAAAATACTCATAGGACCTGACAACTCGGGCAAGGATAGATTCATTAACACGGATGATACACAAACAAGAAGAGACAGGCGAACACGTAACACACGAATGAGCCACAGAGACATTATAAGTAATTATTCAATGTCTGAGCACTTAAAGACGGGATGCAATACAAAGCAAAGTGGTGGAGGCCAATTTTAAACACATCTTCAAGTGTATAATAACAATGTCCAGAGAGCTGGAGAACATGTCATCTCTGGATTAAATGTTGAGAAACGGGACCAAAGACCTGAAGATCCACTCCTTGAAGCATGCACAACTACTCAAGTAAAACTAGGTAAGTAAAGTTCAAGTGTTCACGAGTCAACAAATTCATGGATCTGAATTCCCACAGACTGAGAGAACAGGAAGTCTTATCTCCATCATAAGTGGGATATCTGTGTATCAGTTGGGCTTTACGACCAGCCCATGAGGATGTGGTTATATTCTCGATACTAACTTAAACCGAATTTGAAATAACGCAGCTGATAAGGAAAATCTTTAAAAACATCCTGACACTATATGTTACCACAGAAACGAGGTGGTATAAGAACACTGAATAAGAAATTATCTTTGTACTCCGGACCACTGTAAGTAGTCACTCAATATTTGAAAATATCTATTGAGGGAAGGAAAAAGAGATCAAGTAGACTAGCATACTCTCAAGTGGAGTACCATAAAATCAAAGAAATTCATCGTAACAATACCAATGGAAGCGAAACTCACAGATTAAATAACAATAATTTATGGACTTTCCAGTACGGACACACAGGTATCAATAACGCTTTGCGCTGCCTGTAAGAGGCAAAGCATCAAAGCACAACAAGAACACATGAAGGACCAAGAGTGCCTGGAAAAAATACAAAGGAAATATAATACAAATGAACCACAACATTTACAAAAGAGCGTGGAGTAAGTAAGTAAGAATTTTTAGTGAGGAGTTTGAAAATGACGCAGCATTCAAGCCAAATGCCAACCAAAACTCTCAAGCGTCTGTACATAACAAAAACTCAGTGTAAACAAAAAAGAGGATAACACATACGAAAGTACATAGTATAACATGGATAACACATTCAGGTACTAGACGAACTTTTTCAAATTTTAACCTAAACTGCCAATGACCCCACACGGGCAGACACTTCCCGGTGAGAGACTGATAGCAACAAAAGTGTCTCCAGAGGGAATGTGGAAATAACTGATTGACAAAGATTTTAGGAAAACTGCGGGACCAGGCGAAATCTCACTATGATTACTGAAAGAGATAACTAGTCCATTGACTATACCTCTTCCTACTCTCTAAATCATTGCAAAAGACTGAATTG